TAAATCCGAATTGCCTATCAGAAAGTCCATTCCCTGCTCTTAAAATTTCTTGTATCCTTTCAATAATTCTTTCAAACAATTTGCCCAACTCGTCAAGTAAGCAGATAGGTCTAAATGATGAGGAGGCATCCCCAGTCTTACCTGGCTTTCTCAGTAGGACCAATCTGACCATTTTCCATTTCGCCGAAAAGACACCATTCCTCAAGCATTCCCCAAAGCAAGCCAAAAGCTATGGAGATATACTTTCGAGTGACTCCTTTAACAGCGCTCCCGAGATACCATCGGGGCCCGGTGCCTTACCTCTTGCAATACGCTTCCCTACCGTTATTAGTTCAGGTTTGCTGACTAATACTTCTTCGTCTCCCTCCCTTATATTCATTTCCGTAATCTCGCATGTCCGAGGAGGAGGGAACAATGTAGAGACCACCTCCTCGACCGTCTCTGCAGGCAAACTTTCAATGGCAGATGGCGTTACCGGTCTAATATATTTTAGTAGCACTCTATAGGGTCTACCCCAAGGATCCCTATCGAGTGTAGCTAACAATTCCCGCCAAGCTCGATCTTTAGCCTTCCAGATCGCTTTACGAAGTTCTTCCCTGGCCAATTTTAACTCACCCCATAACATTATTAAGTGCTCATGTGAGTAGTGTCGCCTGCGCCTTGTTCTCACTACTGCTCTTCTACATTTAGAGCAGACCCTGTGTAATTCCGTAATATCATTGCTCCACCAATAGGCTGACGATTTGCCGGCCGGCCCTGAGCGTGGCATTGAGCTGTCCGCCAATTCCTTAAGATTATTTGTTATCCACTTAACTCTGTTCTCTATTGTTGTCTCCTCTGGGTTATCCCATGATTTTATAAGGAGGGAAGCCCTAGCTATGTCTAAATTAATTTTTTTAATATTCCAGCGTGGAAAATATTTCCGACTGATTCTATCCACCGGAGATCCTACTTGTTCGCTTATAAATTCAATTACGACGTACCGATGATCGGATAGTGTATCAACCGATTCGTTGACCCACCATCCCGTGACCAAATTATTGGCAGAAACTGACATCCACGAAACATCAACCACTAATAACCCTCTAGGGTGTACGCATGTATGTATAAATCTTCTATTCAAGAGCAACAGGTCAAGCGAATCCGCCCATTCCGCGAGAGCAAAACCCCTCGCATTTGTCCCAGTTGCATCCCACCTGCCCGATCTGGCGTTAAAGTCACCGAAAAAATATAAGGGTTTGCCCCTGTATCTCCACCTGATCATCTCCAAAGTCGCCAGGTATTCGGAGAAGTTCGCCAGATTTCTATTCAGAGAGAAATAGTGTAAACAGGGAAAGCCTGACGTCACCCCTTGCCACGTAATGGCAACTGACGTGTTCCGATCGGACGACAAGGCCCACCGGTTGTCCCCCTCTATGTACCACGGCTCTGCGATAAATGCTATATCTATGTATCCTCTGCATAAGTTGTGTACAATTAAATCTTGTGCCGCTCTCAAATGGTTTGTATTGGTTTGCAGTAATTTAGCCATTTAGAGAGTCGCATTCAATGGTATTAGTAG